CTGGGGGGGAGCCCGCGGCGCCCCCTGCGGGACGGGTCTGTGGGGGGAGCGGCCCCCCGCGTTAGCGGGGCGGGGGAATGTCCCTGGGTCCCTCCATCCCTCCGCGGGCCGGGCTGAGGCAGCAGCGTGACAGACGTCTTGTGAGTGCGTGTCGTGATTCATCACTTTCCTCTGCCACGACTAGTCTTTTTTTCCTTTCCCTTTTTTAAAGAGCGGCCGGAAGCCCTTACCTCTCTCGAAAAGGGGAAGGGTGTCAGCGGGGACCTGCGATCAGCCGCCGCCCGGTTTCTCTCGCCCTGGATGTGACTGGCGGGTCCCGAGGCACCTCCGGCGGCTCCGCAGTGCGGGGCCGGGCGGGGGCGAGGCTCCTTCCCGCTCCCGCTCCCGCTTCTTCTCCTCGGGCATCGCGCAGGCCGGCGCGGGCGAGAACGTCACCCCCGGGGCTGGGAAGCGGGGCCGGTCAGCGCCTTCCTCCGAGGGGAATGGAAGTGATGCAAAAAGCTTACTGTGTCTGAAAAAAAAAAAGCAAACAAAAAAAACCCCCAAAACCAACAACAAACAGAGAGGAGGAGATGTTTTCAGAAGAGGCAAACTTGTTTAACCGCTCCTGTTAGTTTAGGTCAGCCACCTGAGCAGATCTAACCATCCCTTCAAATGTGAATTTGAATTATGCAACTTGTGCGGGGAAAAATGGCAGCTTGTTCACGAAGCAAAAATTGGCACGTACCTCTGCGTTGGGCTCTGGTGTGGTCTCTTGCCTTCTGCTCAGAGATGGAATGCTGGCCAAAGCCCTTAGGGTAACACCTAATTTAACTAAAATGGCGTCTATTTGGATGCAATTTCCACCCACAAAGCTACCACAATAAGACCAAAAGGACTTAAAATTCTATATTTAATACCATTCCAATTTTAGTATGGATTTTTAACCCACAGATGATTTATTCTCCGACATGTGCCTGTATAAAGGGATTATTAGTTCATGAAAATGTTCAGAGCAAGCAAACTGCAAATTGAGTGAGGAAGAGGAACGACAACCCTCCTCTTACTTCCCTTCTCCCGTGTAGGATGCAGTGTATGCAAAGATGGATATTCAGGTGAGCCATCCTGTCGGGTGGAATGACTGACGCCCTGGCATCAGGAGGAGTTCCCGAGTGGGCTCTGTTTAGCGTACCCAAATGCGTGGAGGCGGTGAGGGGGCAGCTATATTTCATACTGCAGAGGGAGGAGTCTCTAGCGTGAAACTGGGGTTAGAGCTCCAGCATTTGTTCAGTCACTTTCTGAAAAACAGAATGAAAACACACGAATGGAGGCACTCTAAGGGGTCCCAGCACCGAGTCCCCTCTTGTCGCAGAAAAACATATCATATTCTTTCCACAAACTGTCTGAACCCAAGTATTTGAGCGTGGGGTGGATTGTTGCTGCTATGTGTATTGGGAACGCTATTCTAAAATACCTCATCTTCTAAATAACTGAGACCTACTTCTAATTTCCAGTCTTAATGTGCTCAAGGCTAGTGTACATCCTTTCCCCTTTAATTTAAATTGTTCTTTTCTCTGAATTTTAATTTCTAACCTGCTTAAAAGAATACACTTTATCCAGCCCCTGCTTTCTTAAGCTAAAGCTAGAGAAGCTCTGCTGTCACCCTTGCCCTTGCTCCTCCAAGCAGCCTCTCCCTGCACCCAATCCAGTCTCAGTTTGGGCATAGGAAGTTCCAGATGAGATTTTTTCCCAAGAATTTACAAAGTTATCAATATTCCCTATCTCTGCCAGAAATGACTAGAAAGAATGTGAGAAGTATTTTTATATATACAGTGAAGGCAACACTGTTATCCCGATGGAGATAAAAATTTCAGAGCAGGTGAATAAGCACTTAACAACCTGTGAGGTCTCTAGACTTCATTCTCTTCCTCTAAGATTTTATATCTTCTCTTGACAAATTATCCATGTATATTTTCAAGTCAGCCCTTTTTACAGTGGTATAAGGGAGGTTACAGTGGCAGCTGGATGGATGGATTAAATTCCATGTATTGTTGAATATAAAACATGGAAGTTCTGGCTAAATTCTATTCCTAGTTTTATTGTTACACCTCTGTTACAGCCAGTGGACCACCTGTGCGTAAATAGAGAACAGGCTCAGTGGCTCCCATCATCCTTACTGAAATTTATATTACACTGCTTAGGACAGAGTGTAACCCAATGTTCAGCTCAGTCAGCTTAGGTATCAAGCTGGAACTTCACCTAGATGTCAATTATCCCTGAATGTTATTTTTGATGTGGTAGAAACGGTGGGTCCTGACATGGAGGATCACAGCCCTAGATCTCTGCTGTAACTCCAGTACCAGCACTTCCACTTCACTGAGCCAGTAATTAATTTGGTTCATGATTTAAGATATAAACTGAAAGCTTCAGTCTTCTTTTCACTTACCGATTGCTCTGTCTACCCAGTGTCTTACACCAGCTGCCACAGTGTAACTGCATGCAAAGAAAATCTTAACAATACTTCCTCTCTTTTCCTACCAGCTAGTCAATTTGGAGAATGTACATGGGGGAGAGCACTCAGTTCTGGGTAATGTAAATTCTCAGGACATTTTTACTCTTTGAAGAAGTTTAATATACTAAATTGCATTAAGAAATGAGTAACAGTCTGGTGATGGCTTTTATCTGAAAAAAACAAAACAAAACAAAAACAAACAAAAAGGCCAGATTTAATGACCTTATCGATGAATAGAGGTCTGTAATCTTCAGTAGCATTTTACCCCATTCACAGTAGATGACTGGGCCTGAATATTTTACTAAAAGGAAAATTCAGCTTTTCTGTATACTCATTTATTACATACCAGGAAAGTAAATAGACTTTTATTTTTTATTGTAAATCTGCACTTGTTGTATAGCAAATAAAAAAAAATTGATTAAATAACCTTTTTATAATTTCACCAGCCAATCTATTTTTCACATCTCTTGGTTAAACAAGAAAATGGATTTTTAACATTCCATTAAAATATACCCTAAGGCAATGAGGTAATTTTAAAAATTTTTAAAATTCTGAGTACCGACACAGCGCTGAAACTAATTTTAACATACCTTACTGCAGTGATTTTTGGTCATCTACAAGTAGGAAAAATCTATATATAGATTCCGCTGATTTTATCAGAATGCTTGAAAGAGAATCCATCATCAGTTAAAGACAAATGAAAGGGTTTTTTATTTAGAGAAAGGAAGTGACTAAAGGTCTTGGAGGGAAACAGGAAGGGAGTTCCAGATAGCCTGAGCAAGTCAAATTAACAGGCAACAGGAAAATACAGCTCTCCAGTACTGAAATTATACTGCAAAACACCCTTTCTTTTAGCTGTTCAGAAAAATATTTTACAATTCTTATATGAAGATTGTCAACAAGTAGGAGTACTTTGCAGATATTCAGCAAGTTAATTTACAAACTTAGTTTTCATGAGGTGTTTTCATATAGCGAACTTAGGAAGAAAAGCATTCAGCACGTGAAAGAGAAACACCACTAGTGTGTTTCTGAATTTCCACCGCAGTGCTGGCAACGGTTATGTACTGGTTGGATTTTCTTCTGTCTCCTGTGACCTTCTGCTTGATTTTACACAGAAGTAATACGATATCACAGCATATCATAGACTAGGAAAATAATTGTGATGGGACAAATGCAGTATTATCACTTCACAGTGGGATCAAACAGAAAAAAAACATTTGGCCTCAGAGAGCAATTTAAAAAGATGGAGTTAAAATTGCAAGGATGGTTGGATTCCTGTCCCTCCTTTTAAGCTTGAAGTACAATCCTCCAGGTTTCAGGTATCATGTCTTTATCTCTGGAAGGATAAAACTATGCGATGCTTTTGTTTTCAGATGATGCCTGTGCTGCAGTGCCTTGGGCATCAAGCATATTTACCTAGCAGGCTTGTCTTCATTTGAACACCTGCTGTACTTCTTTTCAAGATCAGTAGTGGGATATTGTGACAAAATCACTACTTAGTTTATTAATACAAATGCAGCATATGGAGGGAAGAGTGCTAAAGCAATAGTACAGAGGGATTACCATCTCTTGATGGTAACTGAGTCAGGTTCAGCTTTATCAGAATCTTTTGTGGGGCCTGCCTTTCAGCCTGGTCATCTGCAACAATTAACATTTTCTTGACAGTAGCTTTTTAAACCTTTTATGTTCTTTAGTGTTCAGGGCACTTGCTAGTCTGGAATCATTTCTCACATCCCATAGGCCGACTTAGATGGAGCAAATTTTTCCACTTTTTTTATGCCCCCAACATCATCTCGATAAATCGAAACAGTGCATTTCTACAGTAAACGTCCTAATAACCACGTCGACATACAGTATTCTGATTCAGATCTGTCACAAAACATTCTTTAAAACTTCCTTCAGCCAGCCAGCCGGGTGCTGAGCCGGTCCATCTGCATAAATGAGAGTGGTTTAAGGACAGCTCTAAATTACACCAACTGCCACAAGTGAAAAGTTGCCATTAGCTGTAGCTTTAAATTCCTACATCCAGGTAATTTCTTCCTAGGCCACAACTTGGTCTGTTTAAGCTTTCATTCAAAGGAGCCAAAGCTGATGCATAACATTAAAAACGATGTTACAACAGTGAACAAGAATATATTTGCTCACCATTAAAATATATCAGCCTTTGAAGTGAATCAAAGCAACAACAGTGCTCTACAGCAAATGAGACTATGACATGAGAAATTCTCCTCACTAAAACTGCACAGGAATCCACTGGTAATTGGATTTTGGTCTGACTACTCTTTTCCTTGGAAAGAACCATTAGGTCTTAAAAGACAATACACAGTTAAGATACCAATTTTATGTCTTATTGATGTATAGGACCTTAAGCAGTGGGGTTCTTCCACACCCAAAGATGACATTGTTTACACTGAAGAGAGATGAGACTTCTGTGCAAAAACCTCAAACATTTCCTGTAGCACTTCCACGTTCCTGGATAACCTCCTGTCTAAATACTGACCCCAGCAAAGGCTGCTTAACTTATAGGACTAACAAGTTCCCAACAGGGAGATAGTATGGATTTAAAATAAATATTTTCCCTGAGGTCCTTTACTCTCTGCCTGGTCAGAGGGGTGAGGGCTGGACACTTTGAGGGACCATGCAGTCAATCAGAAAAGTTCTTAAGTGAAAATAAAGACTAAAGACTGACCTTCCATTATTACAATGATACAATATATTCATAACAAAATTGAATCAAATGTGTCCATTCACGTGTTAATAATAGTGTATTAGGAAAAAAAAAACATGGGAATGTGGCAGAATGATGTACACTAAATGACAGTTAATACCACTTTCACTGTAGAAAATTTAAACATACATGAGTGCGAAGCCTTCTGAGACTCTCTGTGAGCATTCCTACAATTTTCTAAGGAATTAGAATGAATGGTGAGAATTTTTCAAGTTACCCAGAATACAGGTAACTCTCCACTTGAGGTTTAATATTGCTACTCTTCAGCCCCTCAAACTTTTAAGAAATACAA